TCCCAATCCTTCCGGGAAGGGTTGGGTGGTGAGTTTTTGGGTTTTTAGGCACGCCCACATCATGTGGAAAGTGTCACCGCAATTTTCCTTAGTATGGCAGTGCGAAGACACAAATCTGAAGGACATACAAGTGTCAATGTGAAACTCACAGACCGCAGAGCGCACGCGACGACAGAATCAACTCGAGGTGGAGGTCACCAACGTCGTTGTGTGCAGCCATGTTCCATTTTTTCTGCGCTGCCGTCTGCTCGCTGAACGTGTGCGTGCAAACGCCAGGGGGACATTCAGCAGACAACGCAGCGTGAACATGTGGAGGCTAGTCAACCTTCCCATTGGCTAAGGAACCATACAGCCTCCACAGTGCATTAGAGGACCTATGCGAGTGAGTGAGCGCTCACGTGTTATTTTTTTTTCAAAAGCTAAACGGTTGCTTTGCAAGGCTGTGAGGCACAGTAATTAATGCGATGCGAACGGCGAACTTCTGGCGTGTAGTTACTATTTCGGAAACAACTTATTTAATAACGAAGTAAAATAACGTCCGTTGACTGATTCATATGTGGGGTTTAACGTCCAAAAACCACCATATGATTATGAGAGGCGCCGTAGTGGAGGGCTCCGGAAATTTCGACTACCTGGGGTTCTTTAACGTGCACTCAAATCTGAGCACACGGGCCTACAGCATTTCAACCTCCATCGGAAATGCAGCCGCCGTAGCCGGGATTCGAGCCCGTGACCTGTGGGTAAGCAGTCGAGTACCTTATCTACTAGACCACCGCGGCGGGGCTGCAATAACGTCCGCCTGCTTGATTTAGGCGCACTATAAAAAAATTTCAAAAACAGGCTGATAAACGTGATTTATAGTTCCTCCCTGTAGTATCTCTCATTCCCGTATTAATTTTGGCATGAAAAAAGTTTGGAATTTCCTCTCTTTAGTTATTTGCACATTTATTGATAGAATTTTAACCATCACAGTTCGTCCGTTAAAGCAGTACTTAAAAGTTGGAACGTTTATTACTGTTAATTGCTAGAGAGATCTTTACAAATACTACAGAACGTGCCAACAGCATAAATACTAAGCGGCTTGCTTGTAAATATTGCGTAAAATTTTAAAGCTGAGCCCAATTTACTTAAACAGCCTCGTAAACTAATGATGAAAAAAATCAGGATTGCACGGAATTTAAAACCGCACTGAGTACTTTGGATTGATGTTGAGCATCTGGAGTTTTGTGTGCAGCTGTACACATGTTTATTTCTCTCTCCCTCACTTACATTTCCTGTCCACTTATATGCAGTAATCATGCTCAAAATTTTAGTACCGGGAGATATTCGTTGGTCATCTATCAGAGCAGGTCATGTTGATAGGGGCTGTGGCACACGGCTGCACGCACACAGGCATAGGGTTTTCTAAAATTAACTTGAAGGGACTCTGGCGCTGGCATTGTTCGGCGACCATGGGAATGATGGGTAGTACACGGATTTGCCTAGTCTTCATACTTGCGCGCGGCGAATCAAACTTGTGACTTCGTTTCTTGTTGTGTTTCAGTTTTGTTTCGAGGAAAAGAACGAACCCTTTTGAACTTCGGTACCCTATTTGGAATGGTAAGTCTAAAAATTTAAGGAGGTGAAGCGTAACCATAGAACGTTTGCTGATCCTTGTTTTGTGACAGAAAAGCTTCTAGTCACGCTTCGAGCCACGCGAATACAGAAGAAGCCAGAAGTACGAAGATTAGACGAATTCATATACTACCTATCATTCGCATGCTCGATAAAGTGTCGTGCGTTTAAGCTCAACACTAGCGCCAGAGTTCCTTCTAGAGTATATTTAGGAAACTCTATGCATGTAAGTACTTCACAGCCTCGCGGATGACTTTTACGCACACGAATACTTGTGAATATTAGGAAGATGCAGGCTCTTTATTCCGTCAAGAAAGCGCGAATTTCGATGTTCACTGCCCCAAGTCGGGGCTAGTTCGAGAGCCTTGTTACGACGTGGCCATCATGACTGCTTTATCAAAGTTGAGCTTCTAGCTTATGTTTTTTATGTATTTCAGGTATTGCTGTGGGATTGCGCTCATTCGTCTGCAATGTACTGCACAGGTCACAGAGGCATGGCTGTTTTTGCGTGGCGAAAAAACGAGGCAGTAGCTCTCACTAAAAGGTAAAGATGAAGCACGTTTGCCGACGCAGTGCATATTTATTAAGTGCGAGACGTGCCTAAAAAAGGTCAAAGTTATCAGCTGAATCAGGTACAGCACAGCTGGAGAAGGGTTGGAGGCATTCCACATAAAAGCACGATGTTCTTCTCGTATTGGTAATGCGTCAATGTGTTTCTCGCCGACAGAAAGCATGTTCCTAGTTCACAGGCTGTGATTATATATAGAGATTGGTTTGCACTTGATGTATTCCTCGCTTGCTGCGCATGTCTGAGGCCTATAAATCTTTGTGCAGAATATGATGAAGTAACAGTCAAAATTTTGTTCTCCCCTTGACTCCTTTTCTCGTTTTTTCGTCACGTGAAAAAGCCAGAACTTTCTCGCCTGAACAGAAACATGAACCAAACAACCCAGAAGAAAGCCCTTCAAGACCGCAGGGTCCTTAAAGGTGTGGAGTAGGACCTTGAATGAAGGGCTCTGTTGGACTTTATCAAAGCACTGCTGTGGATACTGAGCTGTAGAGTACAATGCAAAGTGCCTACTGTACATACGTACCCCATCTTTCTGTCTCTATCATCATCCTTCATTCCTCATTCTATCCCTCTTTCTTTACCTCCTGCGTAGAGCAGCAGCAACTAGCTCAGGCCGACCTCTCTGCCTTATAATAAGATCTCACTCTCTTTTTCTTGAATTTTTTGAAACTTCGCTCGAAACGAGCGATAGTTGGACGAATGCAGACTAACGAGAAAATACGCTTCCAAAGGAAGCAAGAACTCCCTTAACTCCTACTGCACACAAATGCTTCACTCTAATGCCCAAAGTGAGGCGTGCCTTCATCTGAGCATAAAGTATACCATATAAGCATGTTTATTCTCAAATGTCTTCTGCATTTAGTTGGCGTTCACGTCCCACTTTTCAGTGCCGCTTGCCTAAAGTCCGAGAGATCACATTGAAATAAACTCACTTTAAAACCTAACTTCAAAAACGTCAACGCCTTATGCATAAGTTGGTTAAATCGTGAGTCGACTCACTCAGACTAAGATCAAGGCGTGAGTCTTAGTGAGTCTTGGTGAGCAATATTTTGGTGAGTTTGAGTGCGAGTGAACAGATGAAGTAAATTTTTGGAGTGTGAGTACGGCTTCAGCAAAGTTAGTTGAACCTGAGTCCAAAGGAGCCGTGGGCACAAAATACACAATTTTGCCGCCTCTTAGTTTCATGTGAAAGCGAAAATGACTAGACAGTGTTTCTAGTGAGATACATTAACTTTCGAAAATAAGTGATATAGAGGCACGTTTTAGGGGCGGAGCTCCTTATGGCGGCACCCGTTCGTCCTTCATAGTCGTAGTCATAGTCGTAGTGTGTAACCAGTCTTACGTTTGAACCTGCAAGGTGGTGCCGGTGGGACATTTCTCCTGTGCGTTGTGGAACAATAAAACGTTCGTGGCGTGCACGTTAACTAAAAGCCGAATTCTCCTGTCTCTCATTCGCCATAAGCAGCCATTGGCATGTACATTGACCACTATCATACAAGAAATGGTTACTACGTTATACTCGCTAAGCGTAACATCTTTGGGTTTAGAAAGGTTTAGCGAGCGTTGGGCCGCAGTGCCATGAATACAGTCAACAAGTATATACCATGAACTCGAAGTGGTTAAAGCTGGGAAGTAGACACGAAGCGCAAGCCGTAAGAAAGTGTGCGTGTGCCACCTCTCGTTTAGTTCTTTGAATGTCCGCTTGATGGCGGGGCTTCTTTCTATAAGCGGAATATACGATGAAAAGATGCGAGATGGTGGCACTTGAAGTGTTGACTAGATAGAAAAACGAACACACAGACAGATGCATGGACGGACGCACGGATGGCACGGACGGATGGACGCATTAATGGACGCCGGAGCGGATGCATGGATGAACGCAGGGGTGAACGAATGGATGCACGTGCGGACGCACGAACAGACGCATGCACGGATGGACAGACAGACGCACAGGCGGTCACACAGACGGACGCATGGACGGACGGAACCAAAAAGGAATGGACGGATGGATGCTTCGCCCCACTCTCCGTCATTCACCCCGTGGATATGCTACCTTTGTTTTTTTTAGCTTACGAGAGTTTCATTATAGAGTCCCATCACATAATAATTTTTCCTTCCATGCGAAGCTTCAATCACGCGTAATCGAGCTTCAAATAGTCAGGCAGTGGCGGTAACTTGAAGACCACTGAACATAATAAAGTGAAGTATTGCTCTAAAACGAACGTTTTTTTTAAGCTTCACAATAAGTCCGTTGTGCAGAAATCGCTAGCGTTGCTGAGTGCAAGACTTTTTTTTTCTGAAATGGTAGAATGCTATTTTTAAAGTATAACGCGTGCAAGCGAAAGCTTTACGTATGACGCATGCGCAGCGATGGCAAACGTCGAAGCGAAGATGTGCGTACTCTGTTTATTTGGAAAATACACCCGCGCATCTTATAAGGTTCTCCAATGCAGAAACGAAAGTATTCCGATGGTGACTGTTTTCAATAGAAACTTATTAAAAACAGTAAATAAGGACTAGGATCAAAGCAAGCCCGAAAATACAACGACACCGCGAACTGTGCTGGTGGTTTTTTAGTGAGTCAGAAAGGTAGTTACTGCGAACAAAATCGGCCTCTGATGCACACAATTATTTGATTTGTAAGTCACTTGCAACGGGCTTGTCGCGTCTTATCTTTTTTCACTGCCGTGACGCCTATTCCGAAGAAGAATATCTCTCTGGCTCGAAGTACTTATAGAGACGCGGGCTTAGTTCATAATAAAACGCCATCATTTTTGCCGCTTTGTTTTTTCAAAGTGCTAATATTCCTGCTTACCGGCACACCAGCGTCTTGAGCCGTCGAAGTCCTGATGGCAAGAAGAATCACAGAGGCACTGTACAGAACCATTTTGATGTTCTGGAAGTTGCGCGTAGCTTCAGGCCACGAACTACCGTTCTATTTATATGTAACTCTTTCATATGATTGTGCTCTTGAAGCTTTAATAATTAGTACGGGTCCTCTTTTTTTTGATACTGCAGTTACCGGGACACTGTGACATGCGCCTAGTATTCGAGTAAACACTTGAACTCGTAAAAAACCGGCTGTCATAGTTGCCTATCATTCTGAGCTATACGTCCGAGCAATAGCGGCCTCGTAAATCAAGAGACAGTCGTCGTTGGGGATGACCGCACGTGGCAACTGCTAGCTCCTCTGAAACACGTATCGAAATAACCATAAATTTAAAATACCCACTTGGGCTTTTTTGAGCTCGTAACCTCGCTGTGGTTTTCAAGTGGCTTTCAAATTCAAAATGTTAAGGAAGACTGCCGTACCGACGGCTCGTCATATAACCTAGAGGACTCGATAAAGGATGTCCTGCAGAATACCACGCATACACATTTGACTAGTCACAAGCGCACCGATTTCGACATCGAGCTTGAGAAACTTCGCGCAATACGCCGTCGTGCAGAACGAAGGTACCGACGGACAAAGTGCATGGATGATTTGAGGCTGGCTAGACGCATTCAAAAGAAAATGCAGCGGCACATGGATAAACTGGCTAGGCGACGTTGGACATCCTTTTGCGAGTCGTTGGATCCACGAAAGCCCCTATCACTGATATGGCGAACTGTCTGGGGTCTTAGCACAACCTTGGGTCAGCGACACCCGTTTACATCTCTGGCACTTCACCTTCGATGCAGAGAGATTGACGTCGCAGAATCTTTCTGTAGAAGAATTGCCGGTGATTCCAATTTCACATTATCAAGAACGGGAACTTTTGACAACCCACCGCCTTCACGTGATCGCCGTATAGAATGCCAGTTTTCTATGGATGAGCTAGAGGCGGCACTGGCTCTGTGCAGACGTTCTTCAGCACCCGGTCCTGACGGCATTACCTATCGTGCCCTTTGTAATCTTGGAGACGAAGCTCGGAAGGCACTCTTACGCCTATACAACGACTCCTGGCAGACTGGTACTGTTCCCCAGGCATGGAAGTCAAGTCGCCTCATTCCACTTCTAAAGGCTGGTAAATCTCCTTTGGATATTGCCTCATACCGTCCTATCGCACTTGCCAGTTGTGTGGGAAAAACGATGGAACGAATGATTCTAACACGAATGGAGTGGTATTTAGAGCACTACGAAATCTATCCAGTATCTATGACCGGATTCAGGCGCGGCCATTCGTCAATCGACAACGTTGTTGATCTGGTGATATATGTTCAACACCAGAAAGCCTGTAAGAGACTGTGCGCCGCCCTGTTTCTAGACGTTAAGGGGGCTTACGACAATGTCACCCATGAAGCCATCCTTAGTGCTTTGGAAACAGTAGGTCTTGGTGGCAAGATATATATGTGGGTGTACAGCTACTTACAGCTGAGATCATTTTACGTGATGACAGCGAATGGCCCAACACCTGATTATTACAGCAGCCGAGGAGTTCCTCAGGGAGGAGTGCTAAGCCCTACCCTTTTCAACCTAACTCTCATTGGTCTAGTCGAGCAGCTACCTAGCACTGTAGAACTCTCTGTCTATGCTGATGACATCTGCATTTGGACATCAGGTGTGACAAGGCCTCAGCTTCGCACCCGCCTTCAGAAGGCTGCTACAACGACGTCATGCTATCTTCGTAAACAAGGCCTTGAGGTGTCCTGCGGAAAATGTGCAGTGGTAGCGTTCACGCGGAAACCAATGTCTGCTTACAGTATATCTATTAATGAAGAATACATATCGTTCAGCAGAAGCCACAGGTTCTTGGGAGTCATAATAGATAGAAACCTGTCGTGGACTCCACACATGAACTATGTGAAGAAGCGGCTGATTGCAACATGCCACATGCTCAAATTCCTTGCAGGAAAAAATTGGGGAGTGCCCATACCATCCATGCTACAACTGTACAGAGTGCTGTTTATCGGATTCTTACGGTACAGCTTACCTGCAATGTCTAACACCGGCAAGACCAACCTGCGCGCAATTCAGAGCATTCAAGCCCAAGCATTTAAGATATGCCTTGGAATACCCCGCAGTGCTTCAACGGCTGAAACCATTGCCATCGCTCAAGATCACTCGATAAATACGCATATTATTACCGAGACAATGCGCATGCACCTCAGGCATTATGCCAGGACCCCTTCTCACCACCTGGCGAGCATAGCTGCTGAAAGGCCCCGCACGACATACGGCACTATTGTCTCCAAGCATCGTTCATCGTTTGCTGAGACATACGCACCTGCATCAAAGCCACTGCTTCCTCCTTGGAGCTTGAGCCGGCCGCGAGTTCACTTAATGATTCCAGGAATGAGGAGAAAATCGGACTTACCGACACATGCCCTGAAACAACTGAATCTATTCCTACTGAAACAAAACTACACTCACCACGTGCACATTTACACAGATGGCTCGACTACGCCGTGTAGTTCAGGTGTAACAGTAGTTATACCATCACAAGGGATAACTCGGTGTTTTAAGACTTCACATGTGACAAGTTCCACGACGGCAGAACTCGAGGCTCTGCGCAATGCACTGGAACACATCAATTCAGAAGAAAGACCAGGTAAATGGGCTGTGTTTTCTGACTCAAAACCAGCGTTACAGTGCCTGATATCAGTTCTCCGACGCGGATGCCACGACCAGTTGACCTACCAAACCGTGAAACTTCACCACCTGTTAATACAAAAAGGCCATGACATCGTCTTTCAGTGGTTACCTGGGCATAGTGGTATAGGCGGCAATGATTCTGCAGATCATGCTGCTCGCACGTCACATAAAAAAGCGAACAGCGTTCCGATACCGCTTTCAAGAGCGGATGCGGCGAGGCAGATTCGTCAACTGGCCCGCAGTCTCACACTGACTGAGTTTAACACACCAAGCATACGACGTACACGACTGCACGAGCTCGACCCTTCACTACAACTCCGGCCTCCACCCGGCCTACATCGACGTGAAGCTTCGCTTCTCTATTGCCTTTGGCTGGGAGTTGCTTTCACGAAAGCTTATACCACGTTAATCAGAATTACTGACAGTGCGGCGTGCGATGTTTGCGGCACCGACGAAAATATCGAACACCTGCTGTGTCATTGTCCTCGATTTGCCTCAGAGATACAAGTACTTGCCAACGCAATGCGGCGACTGGATGATCGGCCTCTTTCTGTGCAGGTGCTATTACAGCAACGTACACGTGCCTCGACAGCCCACAAGGCAGTGAAAGCCCTGCTGCGTTTCCTGAGAAAGACAGGCTTGTGTGAACGCCTCTGACATGCGGTAGAGTTCTACACGCTGCAGTGAAATTACTGTCAGTCTCTCCCCACCCCTTTTTTCCCTCTCTTCCCTCTCTTCCCTCTTTCTCGTCTTTCTTGTCCCCTTCCTTTATCCCCCAGTGTAGGGTAGCCAACCGGATGTCTTTCTGGTTAACCTCCCTGCCTTCTCCCTTTTTGTTGCTTCCTCCTCCTCCTCAAGTGGCTAAGGCGCTGGGCTACAAAGCCGAAGGTTGTGTAATTGAGCCCCGGCTGCGGCAGCTGCGTTTTAGATGGAAGCGAAAATTTTCGAGGCCCGTGCGCTCAGATTTAGGTGCATGTTTAAGAACTCCAGGTAGTCCATATTTACGGAGCCGTCTACTACGGCGTCTCTCGTAATCATATTGTGGTTGTGAGACGTTTAACCCCTTATACCAATAATTTTCCGAGCTAAAACGCTTGCTTGCTTGTTTTTTTTTCTATCTGTCTGTTCACTGACTGGCTCGCTAGCTCGCTGGCTATCTGGCTGACTTGGCTGCTTCATTTTTTCTCGTTGTTCGTGTTAAGGGACAAAGATGACCCAAAATATTAGACATCGGCTACAAGATTACACAGGTAATACACACATATGAAAAATCGCTGCTATACACCTATAGCAATGTTCTTTTGCAAAATCATGCAGTAAGTTATTCCAGCGGAAGTTAAATTCTCATCCATCTGTTCCAGTACTTCTAGTGTGCTACACTAGGGCTACCATGCTTTGAAGTAAAGCCATACGAATTTCTCGGAAACGCGTTGGCTGAGTTGGCCAATTGAAAAAAAGGAGGAATTTCTATGTTTTCCAGTTTTAAAATTCATGCTGAAATTGCAACGCCCACAAAGTACATACTCATACAATTGACACACAAGCTCCTAATTCGTAAACAGCTGTCTTTTGGGCAAATAAAACGCAACAGACAAGCAGTGCAAGCCCTTATTTTTCACTTACATGTGAAACTAGCCAACAACTTTACAAACGCAGAAACATATAAGAAAAATTCAAAACAATTCAAAAAAGCAAGCTGTTTAATACTGTTCACAGCAGATGTTCTATCATTGCATTTAACGAGCTTTTATACGGAAGGCCACAGTCAATTTCTGTGAGAGTTCATATTTAACTCATCTTCAGAACAGCAGTGTGACAACATACAGGATCGCAATGATATAGTTTAGAGCCACTACTTTAAAAATATTGTACTTAAAGTAGCATATATAGTTTACTATGGCTAAGTGATTCATTGTGAAGAAGATGCTGATGTTCTTCATTATGTGTGATCAGCCCTTTCAGATGCCACCTGAGAATGTGGATGCGTCAAACAGGCACAGCGCTATTTCAGGGTACACAATATTCTATTGCAACAAAAACATTTTCGTTGTATGGTATTTTGCGTGTTTTCAGGTAACTCATGTTATTGAGTTGTAAGAAAATATATATTTATCCTGAAGAGACTAATGCTTTGCGTTGGCATAAATGGAAGAAAATCTTAAACTAAAATTCTAGTGCAAATGGTTTTTATTAAGTTTATTTTGTGCAAACAAGAACTATACTTTTCGCAAGGCTCGCAAGAAGCACCAGGCTCAACGACTCATCCAACGAGGCAATGTCTGCAGCGAGGTGATCATACGCAGCAGCACATTGCAAAATGACATTACAGTGAATGACGTGGAGCCAC